TCGCCCAGACTGGAGTGCAGTGGCTGCTCCCGGCCGCTGCAGCCTCGACCTGCTGGGCTCTGGCGATCCTTCCGCCTCAGCCTTCCAAGTAGCTGGAACTACAGCAAGACATATCTTAATAGCAATATGTATGAAGAGTTTTAACTCAATTCTTGTTGAATACTGAAAACACAAACAAAAAATCCCACAAAAACCCTAAGCCTCTGTGAAAGTTGCTAGTACCGAAATGCAGTCACTTAATTCAAACGAATAAGATGGAGTTGGGGAGGCCATGGAGAAGAAACCTTCACATCCACAGGCTTGGAACAGGACTCATCACAAGACCTTCCTTCGTGTAGACAGGTAACAGGACGTACTGCAAGAACTCGCTCAAGACCGCAGTGTTCCAGTAAACTGCCTGCACCTGGATGCTTGCATGGCAAAGGCTGTCCTCACCAATGAACAAACGCCAACTCCCACCATGAGTTTCTGTGACCTATGACTCTTGTTTCTTTCCTTTTTTTTTTTGAGCTGGAGTCTCACTCTGGTCACCCAGGCTGGAGTGCAGTGGCACGCTCACGGCCACTGTAGCCTCGACCTGCTGGGCTCGGGCGATCCTTCTGCCTCAGCCTTCCAAGTAGCTGGAACTACAGACACATGCCACCATGCCCGGCTAAGTTTTGTGATTTATTGTAGAGACGAAGTCACACCAAGTTGCCCAGGCTGATCTGAACCCCTAGGTTCAGGCAATCCTCTCGCCTCAGCCTCATCCCAAAGTGCTGGGATTACAGGCTAAGCCACCACACCCAGCCGACCCTTGTGTCAAAGCAGCTTATGTGGACATCTCATTGTCTTTCAAAGACTCCCCTCCATCACAGCACACATATCCCGAGTTGCAATCCCCTGCATGTTCCCAAATATACCAGTTTGTTCTACAGAGCCTGTCTCCCTGTCTTTTTAGGTCGACACCTCCATGTCTGCTGTGTGTACGTGACTTTCAGGGACTGATGTCTCATGAGGCCTAATCTCCTCTAAGCCAAGGGGCCAGCAGATGTGGTCTTTTTGTGCACAGGTGGGCCTACTGTGTTGGGGGGATCATGAGCCATCTTCCTATTAAGGGCAGAGCCCTTGGGGCTGCCCTGGTGACATTCCATGGTTAGACATGGAGAACACAGCCAGGCTCAGTGACTCAGCCTGTCATCCCAGCAACTTGGGAGGCCGAGGCGAGTGGATTGCCTGAGCCCATGGGTTCGAGACCCGTTCAGGCAACTTGACCAGACCTTGTATCTACAACAAATAAAAAATCAGCCGGGCTCGGTGGCTCAGCCTGTAATCCCGCGCCTTTGGGAGGCTGAGGTGAGTGGATTGCCTGAGCCCGCGGGTTCGAGACCCGCCTGGGCAGTGAGACCTCACCTCTATAATAAATTAAAAAATCAGCTGGGCATGGTAGCACATGCCTGTAATTCCGGCTACTCGGAAGGCTGAGGCAGAAGGATCGCTGGAGCCCAACAGGCAAGGCTGCGGTGGCCGGGAACGGCCACTGCACTCCAGTCTGGGCGACAGAGTGAGACTCCGACTCAAAAAAAAAAAATCAGCTGGGTGTGGTAGCCCACACCTCTAGTTCCAGCTACTTGGAAGGCTGGGGTGGCAGGATTGCAGGAGCCCAAGACGTGGAGGCTGCGGTGGCCAGGAGCGTGCCACTGCCCTCCAACTTGGGTGACAGGGTAAGACTCCAACTCAAACAAACAAACAAACAAAAACACATGGAGAACCCAAGACTTTGTAACATGAAAACTCTAAAACAAGGACGAAGGGCTTTTCATCACCCCAGCCCTTCCAGGGAATGTGGTCCAAGTGCTGGATATGCCACTTGCAGCTGATGCAGGGGTGAGAAGTGAGACCATCACAGGGAGACTCTGGGAGTGGCTGTGAGATGGCATGCCATCTGACCTAGCAATTCATGGCACTGCACAGCAGGTACCTTCCCTCAGGGCGCCGGAATTCACTGGCCAACGTAGCAGCTCTTCTAGGGTGGAACACGTCAGGCCTGCCTGCAATCTACCCCAAGGCTAGCAACTGGTGGGACCTGGAGATGAGACGGCTGGGCCAGGGGATTCCTGAGGGACTCTCCTTCTGAGATTCCATTATTCAGCCCAAGAAGCCCCGAGGAGAAAGCCCCACAAATACTTCATGCATAGATGTGCCAGATCTTTTTTTTAAAGCAGCATTTATTGAGAGGACAGAAAAGCTCCCACAGCAGGAGGGGACCTGAAGGGGTTGCCCTGTACCAGATCTTTCTACCAGAAGGGACAGCCCTGTGGCATGGCAGATGATGGAATTCTCACCGAATCACTTGCCACTCGAGGGCTCCCTTTCCTCTCACTTAACAACCAACGGGTACCAGCTCTGCAGAAGGGCTGACGCAGCTGCAGGTGTTTTCAGCACCAGGTGTGGACGGCTCTGCATGTTGCCCAGAGCCCTCTGAGTTGGTCTGTCCTTAACCATCACCTTCCCACCCCTCCAAGCAACACCGCGTCCCTCCTCCCCACCGCCCCCGCGGTTCTTCCTTTCTGGCTCCCCCGAATGCCCTGCCGGGATCCTTCACCTAACCCACTACCTCTCCACCACAGACCCGCCCTCATCTGCTCCAGCAAACCTGGCACGCTGGCCCGTGTCCTGACCTCTCCGGTCTACCCACTCTGCCCGGCGCTGTGCCCTGGTATGGCAGGGCTGCTGGGAGCCTGCAGAGTCCAGAACTTCTTGCTTATAAGTGTGTCCAGGATGAGATGTGTGACTTCTCACAAACAGATACCTCTGCCCCAGGAGACCTGCTGAATGCCTCACTCTAAGAAGCCATGCCGCTTCCTGCATGTGAACTCGTGCACTAGAGTCACACCTAAGTCACCCCATTCCCAGAGGCTGGAGTCAATTAGTTCCTTCTTCCTCCAATGCACGTTCAGCTTTTGGCCTCTCCTGTTCCAGCCCTACTCAGTGATGGTGACCTGACCCAGCCCACCCCGTCCTGTGGGCTCTGCACCCTGAATCCCTTGCAGCAGCCCCCTGCTTTTGTCCATAGGCCCTCAGCTTCCATTTCTACCGTCACCCCTCATTCGCTGCTTTTGTTTCAGATCTGTTGTGGGCTGCAGCTGACATGTGGTGACTGAGTGGGATGCAGGAGCTGGGCCCAGGAGACCCCCAGGACTCGAAGTGGCTCACCGGCATCCACGGATACTGTCCAGACACACCCTGACACCATCCGGATGGACTTCGAGGTCTCTGTCTTCTCAGGTCATCTACAGGGCCTATACGAGTGGCGTTGTCTCACTGGACCCCGATGCTTTCCCTAGGTGGAAGGGGAAGCCATTTATGGGACTGAAGTCGGGAAGCCCAATGTTGCCTGTGGAAAGAGACGTGCAGCAGTTTGGACAAGAAACCCTTGATCTTGGGTTTTCCGGTGTGGCTCCTGCAGTCTCTCCACTCTTCTTGTATGCCTGTTTGATGTAACGGTGTGAGCACACATACTGTCTGCTGCGCGATTTTGGGAGGAGTGTCATTTAGCCTATTTTGTGGGGCCCGGGGAGGTTATGAAGGTCAAGTTCACCAGCCACTGAGTGGCCACATGCACAGCTCCTGCACGTCCCACGACCTGCTGGGGACCCCAAGCGTTGGTTCAGGTAGCCTGTTGCTTCCGAAAACCACCCGAGCTTTTAGGTCACTGCCCTGGTCCTTTGCTTATGCTTTTAGAACCAGCCTCCATTGGTACTTTGCTTCCGTGGAAAACAACAGAGATGAATGTGTTTGCTACTGAGGAGCTGTGGAAGGTATTCCAGGGTCTGTCCCTAGAGTCCTGGGTGTGGATTTCAGAACTGATTGAAAATGGCTAGCCGCCGAGCTCGGTGGCTCAGTCTGTAATCCCGCGCCTTGGGAGGCTGAGGTGAGTGGATTGCCTGAGTCCGCAGGTTCGAGACCCGCCTGGGCAGCGACACCTCATCTCTACAATAAATCAGAAAATCAGCCAGGCGTGGTAACGCGCGCCTGTAGTTCCTGCTACTTGGAAGGCTGAGGCAGAAGGATCGCCGGAGCCCAGCAGGTTGAGGCTGCGGTGACTGGGAGCGTGCCACTGCACTCCAGCCTGGGCGACAGAGTGAGACTCCAACGCAACAACAAAAAATCTTAGTGTGTAATAGGCGGTCTCTGAAGGAAGGATCTGCCTCTATTGGAGGTTTAAGAAGATGACAGAAACCAGTTAGGAAAGTGCAGGAGTCGAGAGGCTCAGAGGGATGTCAGGATTGCCCTGTGGGCGCCGAGGCCCTCCGACCCTGATGCTCTGTGACCTGCATGCAGCCTGATGTGCTCCTGTGGGACAAAAAGCAGGTGGCCCACATGCTCCGTGAACATGGGGCTTCTTAGTCCCAAACAAGATCTGAGTTCTCACTCCTCCAGGTCCTTGACTGTGTCTATTGGGAGTTCACCTGGCCACCTCATTCAGACCAGAAAAGGAAATTCATTTCTTTAGCTAGTAAGTCTATCAAAAAACAACCCAAGGGGAAGTAGAAGTAAGATATTTGGGTATTTTATTCCCAAAGAGACGAAGCCTCTGAAGAATCCCTTTCTGAAGTCTCCCATTGGCAGGAAGCTGGTCCTCTGTCTGCTTGCCTGGGGAGCTGACTGCCTGGGTTTCTGAGTGGCCCCTGAATGTCGAGAGTAGAGACCTGTGGCTGGCTAGGGACTGTTGAAGACTCTGAAGGTGTAGCTGGCGTGGAAAAGCCAGAGCCAGCAGATGCTAGGAAGACTCCCAAATGCTCTGTGTATGTCAGTGACAAATTAGAAAGACAAAAGAAACAGGTAAGAGTGGCTTGGAGCCAGGTGTGGTGGCTCACACCTGTAATCCCAGAATTTTGGGAGGTGGAGGCGAGAGGATTGCCTGAGCCCAGGGGCTCAAGACCAGCCTGGGCAACTTGGCAAGACCTCGTCTCTACAACAAAGTTTAAAAAATTAGCCGGGTGTGGTGGAGCTCACAGCTACTTGGAAGGTTGAGGCAGAAGGATCGCCTGAGCCCAGCAGGTCAAGGCTACGGTGGCTGTGAGCATGAACTGCACTCTAGCCTGGGCGACAGAGTGACACTCTGACCAAAAAAAAAAAAAACCAAAAAGTGGCTTGGAATTTTATGTTTTATGATTGAATTTCTCTTTTTTTTTTTTGAGTCGGAGTCTCACTCTGTTGCCCAGATTCAGTGCAGTGGCCGCTCCCAGCCACCGCAGCCTCGACCTGCTGGGCTCCGGCGATCCTTCCGCCTCAGCCTTCCAAGCAGCTGGAACTGAAGGTGTGTGCTACCACGCCTGGCTAATTTTTTGATTTATTGTAGAGATGAGGTCTCACCAAGTTGCCCAGGCAGGTCTCGAACCTGCAGGCTCAGGCAGTCCACTCACCTCAGCCTCCCAAAGTCGCGGGATTATAGGCTGAGCCACCAAGCCCGGCTAATTTTATTCTTTTATGTCATGAAAAAACAAATAGTAGTTGAGACCTATTTAATTCATTTCATGACCCAGTTTCAGTCATAACCTGCAGTTTGAGAAACCCTGGTTTGGATCATTGCTAGTTAAGATCCATCTTACTGTTGAATCAGAGCATTGGCATTAACTGGAAACTTGTTAGAAATGCAGAGGTCAAAATAAATAAATAAATAAAACAAATAAAAAACCAAACAAAAAAAGAAATGCAGAGCTCAGCCCTTCTTACTGGCCCATTGAATCATAGCCTGTATTGAAGGAGACACCCAGGTAATGTGTAGGCATCTTCAGTGTGAGTCGCACTAGCCTAGAATGACTGCTGTGGTCTTCTAGTAGTTGATCTCCTAGTTCCCAGCCTTGCTGGTTGACAGTTTTTTCCATTGTGTGATCGGGTGTGAAGCTGGAATGGTCCTGATAAAGCCATTTATTCAGATTCTGCATTCCCCTGATTAACTGCCTTCCCACTTCACATGGAACTGAATCCTACAGGACCCTCTATCAAGTCAGTTTCTCAGCCATGGGTGGCTATGCTTTAAGATCACCCACCGGAGGATTTAAAAAACAGACAAAACAAAACGAAAAAAAAAAAAAACCACAGTGTCTGGGATGTATCACAGAAGAATTGGATCAGAATCTCTGGGTATGCAGCCAGAACTGAGAACAGCTATATGACAGATCTGGCCCCTGCTCGTTGGACCTACCTGTGGTTCTCCTGGCTCACTCAACTCCAGCCATATTGGCTACTTTCCTGTCCCTTGCATATCGCAAACTCATTTCTGCCCCAGGGCATTTGTGCCTTCCGATCCCACTGCCTGGAATTATCTTCCTCTGTGGTTTTACAGGCCTCACCCTCGCTTGCTTCATGCCTCTACACAGATGCCACACCCCAGACCTTTCTGTCTTTTTACCTTTATCCCTTCAGCTGCATCATCCTTTTGTGTCTTTTGTTTGTTTTGTCTTCATGGCAGTTATTACTCCCAACATTGTATTTTGTGTTGCTTTCTTATTTACTCTTTATCTCCCCCTGTAGAATTTAAGTTGCATGAGGACAAAAACTTTATCTGTCTTGCTCAACACTATATTCCTAGTATCTGGCCCAAAGGAGATGATGTAATTAGCATTTATGAATGAATGAGAGTGGAGTCAACTTTTACCACTAAGTTGACCCTTGTTGGACAGAGGCAAGAAGAATGTTTTATCTGTAGTAATTGGTCCTCTCCATGTAATTTTTGTTCTTATTTATTTATTTGTTATTTTTGTTTTTAGACACAGGGTCTGGCTGTGTTGCCCAGACTTGCCTTGAACTCCTGGGCTCAAGCATTCTTCCTGCCTCAGCCTCCCTAGTAGCTAGTGACTGTAGGCATGTGCCACCTTGCCCAGCTGAAAAAAAATATTGTAATGTTTTCAAATTGGGTTTCAAACAAAACCCTTTTGTTTATGGGTAGTATGTCTCTTTAGTCCTTTTTGAGTCTCTTTTAATCTAGTCTAGTCCCTTTTTCCTTTTTAGTATGCCATTGACTTGCTGAATAATATTTGATAATAAAATATGCATGTATTTGAGTAAAACATTTTAATTAAAAATTTTTTTGACATAGAGTCTCACTATGTTTCTCAGGCTGTACTCCAACTCCTAGGCTCAAGCCTCCTCAGCCTCCCAAGTAGCTGATATAACAGGTGTGCATCACTGCATTTTGATTAAGGACAGCATTTCCTTATTTCTTCCTAGAGGAAGAACATAGAGGAGAAAGAAAAAAATGGCAGGATAACCTGATTATTTTCCTGAATCAACTTGACTATCTTATTCAGATCATCAGATCTTTGCCTTAAATTGGCTTCATTTTTTTTAATGGAGTGGGGGTAGACTATTTCATTTAACCTGAGAAAGTTTTTTAAAAAAGAAAAACTTATGATTACCTGCGGTTGTTAAAATTGGTATCTGAGTGTTAAATGTCAGAGGTTATTCTGGTTTGGATTTGGAGGTGATGTATTTAATGTGATGAATTCCTTCAACTTGGTTGATTTTTTTTTTTTAAGTCTTCATTTGGAGCAATGTCAGTTTAACAGTCAGATCTGACATAACCGTATTACATAATCAGACTTTTCAAGGATGCAACTTGAAAAGCCTTTACAGTTAGGTTTTAGAACTTCTTTTATTTTGTATGCTTTGAGATCTGTCTTCCTGCTTTTGATCTTTTACTCTTGATCCATCCTTATTCAGGAGGTTAATTCAGAGCTAGAATTCTGAGGAATTCTCCAACTTAAAAGAGAACACAGTGGATAATGTCTCTGTGTAATAACAACATTTGAGTGAGGGCAAAATGCACTAGTGCGTACTTGTCATACTTGGGAATGTCAGGAAGTTGCTTCACCAGTCATGGTTCAGGTGTGAGATCCAGTCCTATACTCAAACTGACTGCCCTGTTTTATGTTTTGTGTTGAATAACAGTTGGTCTCTGTTGTGCACCTTGTCTTTTAGTTCTAAAACATTGGTGATGTTATTCATTGTACGTTAAACATTTGCATCAACTTTTGCTTATTATGAATAAAATATATAGTCTTTCATCTGCTGTGTGACTGCTTCTTCTCTTTAAGCAAGGCAATTCCTCTTGCTTTCCTTTTGTGGGCTTTATAGTAATCATGATTTTC